CCACTTGTCACCACTGTATCGGATCGATTACGTTTTTGATCACTAGGATGTGAACATTTATCGGTTTTGACGGTTTCGCACACCGTTTTCGGTTTTAATGGAGTGTTTTTGCACTGCAAGTCGCTGTCTAATTCTTAAAACGCCAATAACGCAGTCGACTTCACTTTAATCTTTGCCGCTGTTGATAGCCATAGTTTCAACTCCTCCTCCATGTCGCCATTTCAGAGCCGTGTTGCCTGTCGGAATTTACCTTAACAGGGCTTCATTACAGCACACAATGTTTTCAAGCGAGTTTTCCGAAATTTCCACCACATTCAGCTTTGAGGCCAATGTTCCATTCCATTGATTTTCCACCAATTATTTAAATACGCCTTTGCTGAGCAATTCATTCAGTCGGAAAGAAAGTTTATACAACAATGTAAGGTTTCTTTTGTGAAAGACGCCATCGACTCTTAATTGAACAAAGCTTCTATTTTTTGCTTCTTTTACCGCTGCTTAATCTAACTTTCTCTGTAACCAACAACTTAGATTCCGTGGAACTGTTTAGGTCAAAAGCTTACAATTCTTCCAGTTTGGGATGATTAACTACACAAGAATTCTGACTATAACCACGTTTTGAGACACCCTTGGAGTTCTAACCAACAAGCAGCGTTTAATCCTACGTGTATCTCTGAGAGAGCCCTTGTTTACGCAGTAACAAACGTTATGCGCAAAGCAGATATCAGATCTTCAGGTAAACTTTTGTTATTCAGTTTGTCGATAGTCGAGGCGTCAGAAACATATCCTAAGGCATGCTAACCTTCGTCCTTGTCTGCCCAACATAAATTATTTGCAGCGAAGATTGTGACTCACCTATAACGTATATCTTCACAGTTTGCTAATTGACGTCTCCCGTGGTCAACATTTCTTGACTTTTCTTTTCGTTTCTCTGGTTTAAATGAATAGACGAAGTTCACTGATTCCTGAAACTGTCGGTAGCGCGTCATGTCGGAGTAGGTACTCAGTCTCTTAACTGTAATTGGTACTTTGTCGTGAGACAAAAGAATGTATATTCCGCCTAGATGTCAGCTTGCCATCACGCGATTTTCATTTTCTAGAAGTATTCAGAACAGTTAAGTGCTATCTTCAATTCAGACTCGAAATGTTTTTTAATATACGAAAAAGGAAATAAAGAGGTTTCTTCTATCAGATGATGCAGTGTTAAAGAAAAAATTTTGCTACTCGCACGTGATTTTGTCTTTGTTATTGACTGGTTACGGAATCGTAGTGTAATCTTTTGATTGACAGCTGATATAGTAATTTTACTTCACAAGTAACAGTGACCATTCTGAGTTTTGCTAGGGTCGGGCCGGCGTGCATGCAATGCCATACAAGCAAAGCTCGGTCACCCACCCTGAGTGTTAATAATTTGAACCTTAGTTTGTAACCCTCAACGGTTTGCTCAATGCCCGTAATGTCTATGGTATTTCGTGGTGATCGAGGCGTTCAAGGCCAATTTACAAAGTTTTCCTGTAAGGGGATCCGTTCGGTTTACGTTACACAGCGATTTCCCTTGGTAGAGAACATACAGAGGGCGAAAACCAAGCTAAATCAGCTCTGAAAACTCCCAACATGCATTTGAAAGGAACAAAAACAGAACCGAGATTAGCTAGCTTTTATCTAGTTTTTATCTAAAACTAGTAGAGATAAGTAAGTTAAAAAAATGCGATTGCTCATTCCCATAAAAATCTTAATTAATTCACCGATTGCGTAAACATAAACATGATTTCGTATTCAATGAAATTAGCTTTTACATCATCAATTACCTCGGGAGGAAATAGCAGATGTGAATCAAGTAATGAACTTGATCGTGCGAGAAACCCTCGGAAGTTTTTTCCAGTCAAAGGAGCTGCATTTCCTTCGGAAGTTTCTCAACCTCTTTTTGTAAATTTCTTCTTTTTCCAAGATAACAGCTTTTGAAGTCAGAGTCAGATCTCTTCTGTCCATTGCTCTGTGTGTGTGAACTTAAGGATAACAAAGTTACTTCGTTATCGTGATCCTCATCGTGTCTTTTCCTCTATGCAAACGATAGAATTTTTCATTTTGGCGACTTCCTCAGTTGTCTGAGGCTTGTACACTCCTCTTTAGCTAATACGCTCTAGTAAATATGAAACTGTAAAGACTTTCCCACAAGGTTGGAACGTATGGTTGTCGTCTTTCATTGCACTTTGAAGTGTGAAATGTGAAATGTGAAGTGTGAAAGGTGAAGTGTGAAATGTGTAGTGTGAAATGTGCAGTGTGAATTGTTTTTTATTAACGGTAAGCGACTGATGGCTTTCCAATTTCAAACAAGTGTGTGTCCAGTTATCATGGTCACGAGTGAGTAAAGACTTTCTAGTCCTTGTCCTCACACGATATAAAATGTGCTTTTAATATGAAACTCAGAAAACCGTGGACACCCAAATTTGATATCAACACGTCAATTGAGTATTGACCAATCACAAAGAAGTTCAGCAATCGCTTGCAAACGGCTTTGTAAAATAACTGAGATTCTACGAGCGCCATGATTGCTCAAAAACCTATCGTTTATCACATCGCTAACCAATGGAAAACTAAATTTTATTTTACTACGGCAAAAAACAGCACTGCCTATCAGTTTACGGCGTAACAACCCACTTTAGATGTCGAGAGAACACTTGTAAAGTTTGTAAATGACGAACCAGAGAAGATTTCCTTGAAACCGGCGCAAAAACGTCCATGAATAATTTTGGTGTTCACGTTTTCTGTATTTTCAAGGGAAGGCTATATCCTAAGATTGCAATTTAAATTAATTCTTGTGCCTATGCTGTTATTTGTTGAAACCTAGTGTTTCTTTCGGGTTTCCACTGCATCAGTTTGGCGTAGTTCTTCAACAATTTTTTCCAGTAACATTTCACATCTTTGAGTCGTAGATGATCTTTTATAAATTGATATCCCCTAAGAAAGAAAAAAAAGTTGTTCTGTGAGTGAAACCGGAAACAAAACAAAAGTGAAATCGAGGCACTTTTACTTTTACCAACACTAAAACTGTGATTCAGAAAGCTTTACGAATGAGTGTCGTAAAACCGAAATTAAGGAAACCACAAAACAGCTGTTGAAAAGACTTTGCTTATAAAAAATTTGCGCGGGATGTGTCCTAGAACTTGTAACAAAGACAATTACGTAATGACTTTTGTTGTTGTGACAACGTATGCGACCTGGTGATACTCTTCGTCGAATAATCTTGTCCGTAGTTTAAAGTCATTGTAGAGTTATAGTTCAGTAGCAGAGAGTTTTCCGAAGGATCTCGAGATTAGTTCATGTTTAGAGCCGTTCAGAAGGATCTCGATAATATCAGTGTATATTGTGTTTAAGTGTTTTCATCCGACAAATGGCCAATCAGAAGAAAGGAAGAGATCTTGGACTACAAAGCGCGGGAAACCGCGGGCGACCAAGTCGTGATTGATCTTAGTTTTACATCTGATTGGTTGAGAGTGGCACGAGTTCTTTTACACCAATCACAGAGCGAAAATAAAAGTAAAACTGAAGCAATCCCAGAATACTTTCGACACTCAATCGAGAATTACTCGATTTAACTTCCTCTCTTGTCTAGCAAAGCTTCAGATTAAAAGGAATAAATTAGTGAAAGATAGTAACAAGACCGGAATATAAACAATTCTTGCGCACCTGACGAAAAAAGTTCAAACCAATATCATTGCTACTACAATAAATTTAAGATTACCTTTCAGCCACTCGTTTCGCAACGTCATCATTCGCTTTAGCGAATTCTATAAGGTCCCTTAAAACAAAAATATTAACAAACCATCGCTCTTTCTTTGTCTTCCAATATTCACGGTAATCATTATCCGAGGGAAACTTGTCTGTCATTGATGATTTTGCAATTAGTCCGCGTGAAATTTTTCGCAGTTAAAGATGGCCGGCGTTTCTAATGCAGAGCACCGTGACAACAGTTACTCGCTTAAGATACGGCAGAAAATCTTTGCAGTGGCCAATTTATTGTCCACTCAGTTCATAAAACCAAATTATTTAGGATAGGACAAGGCTTTTTCTTAATAAAGTGAGTGCTTAAATAAATACAATTATTATAAAAGACCCTTTGCTTCTTACAGGTCTGAAACAACCATTTCAGAATGAATTTGGTTGTGGGGTGGTGCATATGGTATTAGGGCTTCTAAAATTTATGTTTAAGATTAGTGCAAACTCGGGAGCACTACGCCAGAAAGCTTTGCTCTCGAGTGGAAGTCAGAAACTAAAATAACTCCAATAAAAGATTGAATGCTATATAAAAGATATCATTGATACTTACCTAGCATTGTTGAGATCTGTTCCAACGGGTATATAGTGGACCCAGGGCTTCAAAGCCCGGTAAAAGAATTCAAGCCATTCGTCTCCTACGTGAAACACTAGTGACTTGCAAAGGAAAAGATGCTTGAATCTAAAACTGGCTGCTACTCCACGAAAGTTGAACAGGTATCTGTTACACAAGAGAACGAAAATAATGGCGAGCTTGTTGATTTATTTCGTAAAAGCAATTGACCGCACTTTCGATTGGTTTACCGGCGTAATAGCCCTCTTGGGTAGTTAGAAAACACTCGAAGAGTTTATATATATCGCGCCTTGGTTCGCGATTTCGTGTGTTCTCCCAACTTCCCAAGAGGGTTGTTATGCCGACAAACCGACAGAAAATGCTGTTTTTTCGTTAATATCCCACGTGGAACGTTGAGGATATGAAAAAGTTTGTAAATCACTCGTCATCGCCTTGGGATTTAAGCGGATAACTACAACAGTTGGTAAACCTATGGAAAGCACGGCCTGTTGCCTGTGAAATAGCAATGGGTTCTGCGGTTCAATAAAAGATAGGTTCTCACCAATCAGAGTGCGTGTAGAATCGTGGTTATTCCACGTAGAAAAATCTTCAAGAGAAATACGTCAATACCTGTATTCACAGTGGTCTTCGAGCTTGATCTCTTTGGCGGGTGGAGCATATAGTGTGTCCTGAGAAAGAAAATAACACTAGTCTTTTCAAGGGTCAACTAAGGCCTTTGTTTTCTAACATTTACGGTTTGTCCGAGAATTTTTCATGTACAAGGAAAAAATTCTGAACTCACGGTCAAACTGGACATATCACAAATTGGTCAATGTAACATGTGCTGAACTTACAGCATCAGACCTCCAGGCCTGATTCTTGGTGTACTGTGCATCCACGAGGCTTGAGTCCTCACGTGATAACAGCACTAGAGGATCTCTCTCAGCAGATGTCCTAGCACAAAAAGAAGGGGGGGGGGTATTGAGACGGATTTTGAACTCATTAAAATCATTGTAACGAATGATTCCAGTGTACCATCCAATTGTCTACTTTCGAGTACAATAAACTTTATACCTCCCTCCTCTTACCTCCATCTGGGTGCCACTTTTTTTAACCCACAGCACTCCTTCTCCATCTTCCTTCATCCCTCTGCATATTCAACCTGTTTACCTGTCCTTCCCTTCTCTCAAGTTCATACTTCCAACTGTTTGTAAATCTTTCCTCCATGACAAACTTCCCTTCTTTCCTTAATCCTTCTTTCCATCCATCCATCCATTCATTCATTGATCCACCCGTTCTGCCGTCCCTCTAACCATCTGTCTACCCTTTACCAATCTCTCTCATCCATCCTTTTTCCCTCACTCATCTGTTCAATTTGTGGCACAATCTTTCAAATCTTCCAATCTTTCCTCCACAACAAACTTCCACTCTTTCCTCCATTCTTCTCATCATCCATCCATCCATTCATTCATTGAACCACTCATTCTTCCGTCCCTCTAACCATCTGTCCAACCTTTATCAACCAATCTCTCTCATCCATCCTTTTTTCCCTCACTCATCTGTTCAATTTGTGGCACAATCTTTCAAATCTTCCAATCTTTCCTCCACAACAAATTTCCCCTCTTTCCTCCATCCTTCTCTCCATCCATCCATGCATTCATTCATTGATCCACTCATTCTTCCGTCCCTCTAGTCATCTGTCCATGGAACCCTTATCAAACACTCTCTCCTTCTATCCTCTCTTTCTTCACTCATCTTTTTAATTTGTTGAACAGGGTAATGCAATCAATAAACCTACCTTGATCCTCTAAAAAATGCCTTTGCCTGCTTTTTCTCCCAAGGCCATTTGCTGGCTTTTCTGAAAGTAGACAATCACATTGTAGCAACTATATCGAGGAAGTTGATTACTGAAACAGGTAAAGCCTATGATGGAGGAGCTAACAGCCACAAGGAAGTTCAGAAGGTGACAAGGGGTTTAGACATGATGCCTGATGAAGTCCAAAATAATATTAATGAGTGACGCATGAATTTTACAAAAGCCAAGGTGTGGTAAATTTTGAAGTTTTCCCTTTTAAATTCTTGACAAGAGGAAAACTGTTTAAGTGTGTGACTCAAGAATTTTTCTGAAATTCATGTGTGAAATGGGATCAAGACCCCCCTTTGCTACTTTCTGTTGAGAAAATAGAAAAGGTCTACAGAAAATTTTATTCTATTGCTTGAAAAAATTAAAAAAAAAAAGGAAATAAATAAATGAAACTGTAAACTAACTTGTCTATCTCATCTCTCATTAGATCCCATCTCCCCAGTCCTGTGGGGTAGATTGGCCACACTGCTGGCCCCCCTTCCCAAAATGTCCATGCTGGATACATGATGTCATTCTCATTACCTGTCTGAAAAAAAATTTATTTATTTAAAATATAATAATAATAAGATAAAGACAAATTGCAAAATAATGCTGATAACTCCAATCCTGAAGCCCTCCTCCATCCTATACTATAAGCCCCAGTTGTTGAAAGGTTGGATAATGCTATCCACTGGCTAAATCTCTCTCCAGAGGAGAGAGTAATGTGTTTTGCTCTCACTTATTTACTGGATAGTGATTTATCAGCTGGGTAGCATAATATCTGCCCTTTATACTATTGGACCCAGAACTTTAACCATCCAAAATGACATTCCTCCTGGAATACAATGATAAACTTGTTCTTAACCATTTCAAAAGGTTTTCCCCAAAAAACATCATATTACCCAATGACTATATCCCAAACTTGACTCAGTGATGTTTAACTTTTTGCTTTAAGTAAAGATTGTTGCAATTTAAGATGTTCTTAGATGTTTCTCAATGGGTGAATATGAAGCTTAAACATCTGTTAAAAAAAGACCGTTCTGCCCTTCCAACTCTTAATTCAATAAAATGAGAAACAAGGTATCAGTATCATTTGTAAAAGTCATCTGAAGACTAATGAATAAAGGCTAAAAGTTTCTAAAGAAACTGTGGTGCTGCGTCGGCGGGGGTAACAAGGTAATTTGGTTATGTTAACTCAGTTCAAATTGGAAATTGGCCACCATAATGAATAAAAAAGCTGATGTTTCTAGCGTTAGCCCTTCGTCAGAGCGAAGACTGTTCCTTACCTTACTAAATGAGAATACAGGCTGAGGATTTGACCACTTTGGAACCTATTTTAAAGACAATTAAGAAAAAAGTGTGAAATTCAAAGAATCACAACCGCATTCACAAATAATTTAAACATTAAAAAAAACTGAAATTAACCAGCCTCTCAGCTGTGACCAGCTTGTAACTTTTCCACAAAGTGCTATCAGTAGGTTTTCCCACAAACAAGTAGCAAGTAGATGTAACACAATATTTTCCTTTAAATAAAACAAATTTACAAAGAAATATATGGCAGCTCAAAGGAGGAACTATATTTCAGATCTTACCTGTGGATAGTCCCTGACATTGATTCTCATCTCCATGTCTGGTAACTTGTCAATAATCTCCAGGATAAAATGTTCAACTCCTTTACATCTTAAAACAGTCAGAAATGTCTTCAATAAATGGTATTTTCACATACAAGCCTATTCTCCCGGATTATCCGAGAGTCTCCTGGATACAAAAAAAATGCCCATTCTCCTGTATGGTTCACCAAACCTCTTGGATAAAAGAGATGAACCAGCTTTCAAAAGCTTTGCTCCACTGTAGGCTAATGTCATTATCCCCAGATTTACGCAAATCAAAAAGCATTTTTATGCAACCATGTCTCGACAGACAAAACAAAAGAACTTTCTTCATTTTTCAGGAGTGGAGATTGATTTGATCAGGGGAGAGACACAGAGACACCAAAATTTTTAGTTGGGGAGGGGCAGGGGTGCTGCCCAGTTGATGCTGTGGTGGCATAAGAGCAAAATCTCTACAGGTTAGCATCTTTGTCTTCACAAAGTGTAACAGTATTGATTTAATTGCATGGGCCTCCTTTTATTTCAACCAGAGTGCAAGAAGTGTTCAAACTAACCTGAATGTAAACATGCACTTTTCTTCTCTGTAGAGTTTATGATCAATTATCTGATAGTGGACACCACGATCAGCAGAACTGTCAAAGTCTGCCTTTGTGACTCCTCCCCTGTCTTTCCAGATTCTTAAATCCTCATCAATCACATCACTGTAGCAACCACATTTTTTGTTTGAGCAATCTTGGTATGTGGCTGTAGCTTGGTCTATTTTTTGTAGATATTTTTTCCATGATTCTTTGAAAAAGACAAAAGTATATAAAATTATGAGTGTATCATAAATAATTTTCATTAATAGATCACGGTTAAATTTTGGGATCTAACGCAGGTTAATCTGGTGGTCCAGACAGCTCGACTTTTGCAATTTTTTTTTTTTTCCATTTTTTCCTCCCCAGACCTTGTGTAGCAATGAGAACATAGAAATTTAACAAAGCACGTGCACACATCAAACTTTTATACCGTTTTAAGTTTCTATCTTTTAAAATAAATCATTTCAAAAGAAAAAAAATTTTAATACTCTTTTCTTGGACAAAATTGAAATCATTAATAATTCAACCGATTCTACTACAGCCAAGCAAGTTAAAGTTTAACACGTCAACGTCGGAAATAACCTGAGTAACGCAATTTGCTACAGAATTTAAATTATCTGACTATAGAAACTTCTCGCAGTTTGTAGGATTTTCTTTAACGATTTCTCGAGGAGATTAGGAAACAAAATTCATAAAATATTCTGAAGCAACTGATATGTCTTAAATTTTATACACCAAAACATAAACCGAGATACTTAAGGCAAAGGTCTCAAATGAAATATAAACAAGACTTGTTTACGATCGATTTTGCATCAGCTATACCTTTCATGGTGTACTTTGCTTTGCTTCGTTTTTCCTCATCCCCATCACAAGAACCATCTTTCGAGCAATCGCCTTGTACATCAGACCCAAAGACAACGTAGCAAATATTTACAAGAAGCAGAATTGATACTGGCATGCGAGAAAACATAACGTGAGCTGAAATTCTGCTGGAGGAAATCTGGTGTAAATTATATGAGAGATAAGTACACGATTACCGCTGATAAATGTTTCGTTATCGACAGAAAGACGAGAAACCTCCGGTAAAAAACTAATCAATTAAAATATACTCACGAGAACCCGAGGTGTAAAATCGTATCTTTCCGAAAATCGCGGGCGCAGGTTCTCGCCACATCACGATTTCGCCGCCGATGTCGCTAAACTTGATGTCCATTGTTGTGGTTCCTTATTCCTTGAAGAGTCGCCATTGCCTTTCAAAATCCATGCAGGTATTGAATACAATTTGTTTTTGTAGTATTTGCGGCTTTCAGTGTTTAACAATGTAGTCGTCTTGTTAATTTTCTTTGTTTTATGCACACAATTATTATTATCGGTTTTTCTTTACAAACAGCGCGTGTCGCTATTTTCGTCTGTCCGCGTGACAAACATAATGTTTGAAATAAAATTCCCAAAATATAGCATTACTGCTGCTGACCCCCCTGGGTTAAATGTTCTTATAGGCTGATACGTAGGGGAAATTTCATAGTTGTCAAAAGTTCACTTTTACAGGAGGACCTTAAGTTTTTCGCTTTGTAGTGACACCATATTTTTCTCCAGTTTTCTCGTAGGTAACCACCGAAAATGGCTGATTCTCGTAGGGTTCAACTCAAGAAAAGATTCTGTGGCAAAACCGGCAGTGTTTTGTCGATGCTTTTTATGACCTCTTCGTTCTTTCTGGTTGAAATCATCGTGGGATATGCGACGAATTCAATGGCGCTTGTGGCCGATTCGTTTCACATGTTATCAGACGTTATGTCGCTCCTAATCGGTTTTTTCGCGATGCGATACTCGAAGCGCAGTCAACGAACGGAAAGGAATACATTTGGTTGGCAAAGAGCTGAAGTTTTAGGAGCTTTGGTGAACTCTGTGTTCTTGATTGCATTGTGCTTTTCTATCCTCGTCGAGTCGCTGAAGCGATTAGTCGAACCAGAAGTTATCAACAATCCCGTTCTCGTACTCATCGTGGGAGTCGCTGGTTTGTTGATAAATGTGGTAGGTTTGATTCTTTTCCACCAACATGGACACGGGCATAGCCATGGAGGCGGAGGACATGAACATAGCCACGGAACTAGTGATGGAACTGAACTGAAAGATCTATTGGTTTCTAAAAATGGTGAACCTGGATGAATGGAACGGAAGTCGAGCAATTCGTCTGTAGATGAAAATCAGTTGATCAGCGAAACTTCAAATGGCGTTGTACCAGAAGGTAATCTAAATTTTTTATTCCTTTTTTCTTTTTCCTTTTCTTTCTTTCTTTCTTTTTTCTTTTTTTTTTTTTTTCAAGAATAGTTTATACAATTCTACGTATTATACCCCAGTTTGATCAAAGCATTATGATTACCACAACTATCGGAATGCTTGCACATTCTTTTTGTTCCTGTCTTCTTGCTAAACAAAAATATTTTTCTTCTGCTGCCAAGGATATCGATAAGCTTATCTTGTTGACAGCTTCGCTAAAATATTTTTGCCATAAATTACGCGGATTTCGTGTCTTCATGACTGAATATGTTTCTGACAAATAATTATGATTCTGTGGTGTCTAATTTTTTATGCAACAACAGACTCAATAACGAAACCATCGTCAGATGGATCCCATCTCCAAATCCATTTTAAGTCTTATCTCGCATCAGATACTGTACCCTAATCCGATGCACTGAGCTTTGATTGTTGGGTTGTCATTATTATCTACATGCCCAGCTCGAGGTTTTTATTTTGACCCAGCTGGTCCAGCAGCTGATAAAGAATTTCAGTTTTGTTTTGGCGTAGAGCCCTCATTTTACATTTTCCTGTCTTTTCACGCATCTGCTGGATTATTCAGTTGAATTAATTAAGCTACGCCTGGGATTGACACCAACTTTTCAACTTACTAGCCAAGTGACTGGTGACATCTTAAATGTTGCAACAATTTTGGTTTATTTACCAGCGAAACTGGCTTATGGAAATCAAAAACCATTAGTCATAACTGAATTTCTACTAGTCTGTGGCTAGTTGCATTGGCGGCTACGGTTAGTGTCGAGCCCTGGACACGTTGTGAACTTCTCACCCCCCTTGGCACATCTCCACATCCTCTTTTCTCCTCTAAACCTTGCGCCATGAATTAATACAAAAAGCCTATAAGCAGCCTTTCATTAATAACCTAATTGGAGTTCAATGGCTCACAGTTACTTTGATTCTATAACAATGGGTTTGAGGCAGAGCACATGGTCCTCATTGGCCATGGAAGATTTGAAAGTTCTCTGCCTAATTTTACAAGGCTTGCTTTCACCCAGACAATGAGAATATTCTGTTACTTTGTACTGTTCTTCAGCTATTGTATTTCTTAGTCAACTAGTGATGGCTAATCATTTTTTTGTTTGTTTGTCATTTTACAGTTTTCTTGTCTGGTGAAAATGGGAAGGTCCACACGGTTGTTTCAAAATCAAACACATCTCGAGTAGAAGTCAAGTCTAGTGCGCAGCTTAACATGCGTGGGGTATATCTCCATGTCCTCGGTGATGCCTTGGGGTCTGTCATTGTTATCATCAGTGCTTTGATAATCAAGTATGCCCCTGGTAAATGGACAATTTATGTGGATCCTGGCATGAGTATCATTATGGTTCTACTTATTTTGAAAACGTCCATCCCATTGATGCGCGAATCGTCACTGATCTTGCTTCAAACTGTTCCCACCCACATTAAGATCAAAGAGGTTCAAGATCGACTGTTGGACAATGTGGAAGGTGTCCTTAGTGTACATGAATTTCATGTTTGGCAGTTGGCTGGGAATAAGATCATTGGTGAGATTTTAAAATTATACCTTAAGTTGAAACATAGCTGTCAGATATTTCTGATAATCAAACTACTATGGTAGAAATTTCTCAAAGTGATTGCTTCATGCACATAAATTATACCCTGTTTAACACTAGAAGGATGGTAAATGCATCATGCCTGTAATTCTACTGAGTAATTGCACAGTGTTGTGACTCGCACTGGATGGCTGTGTCACATTATGGTATGCATCATTTACTGTAGATGTTTTGATACCCAGAAAAATAGGTTTATTTTTTGGTTGGGGAAAGAAACAACTGTCATTATCCATGAAGGGAGCCATGTCAGAGTTTGTTCCTCTTGAAGTTTTTAGCATTAATCTATCAAGCTTGTCATTTGCAATATGTTATTCCTCGGGCATCCCATAACCAGCCATGTTGCCTCTTTGTTTGAGCCCTTTATTTTCTTCATTAATTTCTATCTTGCCAAACTAATATTTTGTAGTTTCATTAAGTCTGAAGACAGTTTGATGTGTTACCAAATTGACCCCAAATATTTTGATTTATTTTATGGCCCACACGACCTTCTTATTTAAAATTCCTCCTTAAAAATCCTTGACATGTATGAGGGCCATACGTGCTGGTGTGAATAGGGCCAGACAAGGCTCATAACCAGCATGTGGCACTGTGAGATGCAGGGTGCAAAAAATGCAACAAGAAAGGAAGAAACAGAAGGTTAATCAGTAATATGTTAAAATCAGTTTTGACTGAGTTTTTGGTTGTGCAAATTGGTACCAAGTCGTGAGGTATGTCTTGACCATGAGCCAAATATTTCTGATCCGACCCTCCCAAACAGTTATAAGTACACACTGTATTAACTACCTTTGTTGTTGTTTCAGCATCAGCCCATATCACCTGCCGTTCCCCAGATGAATACATGAACATTGCGAACAAAATAAAGAGGTTCTTTCACAATGAAGGTATTCACTCCACAACCATCCAACCAGAATTTGTTGTGGAAGACAAAACAGACAGCCTGTGTGCCTTGGAGTGTGGGAAAGATGAAAATTGTGCTTCACAGAAGTGCTGCCCTGGGGAGAATGAGACAGAGACACGCAAACGTTCTGTTGGCTTAACGGATGGCAAGGGTGAGCTTGTAAATCATGTGACAATGGTGTAAAAGTGTTCACATTTTTGCTGATGTACAGTAGAATTGCATCATGGAGTAAATTCTTGCATCCTGATTGGTTAACGAAGTGAAATCTTGCATACTGATTGGTTAACAAAGTGAAATCTTCATCCTGATTAGTTAACAAAGTGAAATCTTGCATCCTGATTGGTTAACGAAGCGAGGTATTTAGTGTGGAATTATGAGTTGAAAACAAGGCTGTGATATTGTTTCGCATCTACATATACCTAACAACTATAATTAATGCTGTTTTTTTTTTTTCTTATCCTTTTATTCAGTTATGCAATTCTAGGAATATCTATTATTTGACTTATGAATTCTGTTTTAAATTGTACTTGAAAACCAATATTGCATTCATTGCTTCTTGATTCCAGGATATCAGTTTGTGCGTGCAATTTAATGCAAAATTCCCTCGTCAAGTAATGAATTTTCCTTTAATTTTAAACTTAGGACATTTATTCAACTCTATAGGTATTAATTCATTAGACTATAGTGTGCTACTGTCTGCTCTGGGAATTTGTTTTTCAATTAACTTTATACCCAATGTGATGTTCTTACTTCCTTCTCGTGACCTTCTGCTTGAACAATATATTGATGTAGCAAGGACTTATTTGATATTGGTCACTTCTGAGATTGAAGGGATACGGTCTATTTTGTACTGAATACATAAACCGATCACACCCAAAATCTTATGAGAGTTTTTATCATTGCTGTACACAGTACATTGTTTTGTGATAAGAATTTGGTTTTGGATCAACTAAAAATCACCTAATTGATATTTTTCTTTATTTTTGTCATTTCTCTGCTTGATATTCTATTGATATTGTACTTGGAGAAATTCTGTCCTTGTCACTCATGGGAGTTAGAGGGTTCATTGAGGAAATGTGGTAAATACATGTAGCTGCTTTGTAGTTCATCACCTCTAGCTTCTGGCAAATTTTTAACTAAATTTGTGTGGGGTAGCTAAATGTAATCTGATTGCACAATTGGATCATTTAGAGGTAAGTTTTCCTGAGAAGGACTGCTGTCAGGTGTAGCAACTAGCATTTTGACAACCTCAGGGAAAATTAACAGGGTGATTTTTTTTCTCTCGACTCAAATGACTTTAGCTTCTGCTAAGGTTGTTGAAGTGCCAGTGGAACAGTCAATCCCTGCAATTGATTGTCACTCTTGGATTCACAGGGCTTGGCACTAACTTTTCAACTTACCAGCCAAGTGGCTAGTGACAACATAAATGTTATGACAATTTCAGTTTGTTTACAAGCCAAACCAGCTAGTGGAAATCAAAAACCACTTGCCAAAACTGAATTTCTACTAGTCTGTGGCTAGTTGGCTGTCGTTAGAGTTGAGCCCTGGTTCAAACCATGTTATCCATAAAAATTAATTTAAGAATTTCATAAATGTAACATATGATACAAGATATAATACATTTATTTAAACAGAGTTGTCATACAACAAATTACAATAATTATTAGTCACGTAATTTTTGAGGGCTGATATTAATTTGTGGTTATTTTTTCTGTAATATTTAGCACTTATTTAGTATAGATATTACAAAGCTTTATTTTAAGTGTTCCATTGTGACTGACTTGTTTTTACAGTTTATTTAAAGAATTTAAATTCCCCATATCATTGTTTATGAAGTTTATTTGCACAAGTGCCCCAGTTCACCAAATTCAGCAGAATAGGAACTTGTACAGTTATCATTTGTTCAACTTGATTAACCAGGATAATTAGAATTATGTGAAAGACTGTGCAAATATAAAAATTATTTTGAGAGAGTTAAAAGAAGTTTCCAGTCACAGTTTAGGATGCAGCTTGCCATAAAACTTTTTAATGTTGAGTATGTTCTCCTGTTACTTGACACAATTTTGTGCAGGACAGCATTTGTTAATGAAGGTGCTGGATATATTTAAATGTAACCTCTCGTAAGAGTATCGGTATCTTGTCTAGCTAAAAGATTGTGATTTCTTTGATATAACACCAGATTCTCTCAAGTGATTTACCATAAATAAACCAACAGTTAGATGGGAGAATTTTTATGTCAGATCTCGAGAGTTAGAAATCTCTACAAAGCCAGTGTTTATCTCAAGGTTTTCAAGAAATTTATCTTTTTGTTTACTAGTTTTCATTTTTTATATGAATAGATCTACTTTGTTTGCTCTTCAAGTGTGATAGAGGTAAGAATTAGGGAGTGAAACTTTTTTTTTTACTCTTTATGGATGTCTGAGTTGTTACAGTAAGCAACAGAAATATTGAATTATAGTGATTAGTAGTGGTATTTTGTGTAATAAAGTATTTGTGTCAGTGATTTATTTACAGAGAAACACTCACTTTTGTTAGTCCACTAGTTGGGAAGCAGTATTTAAAAGCAGTTAAATAATCATTTGCACACATCACAATTTGCGGTAGTGTAGGAAAATTTTATGTGATCAAGAAGGTAAAGCTGTTGGTCAACACTCCATCAAATCTTATAATATTTACGAGTTTATTTTATGGGAAGTGCAGTCTTTATCATTTAATTCGTGCGTTTGAGGTAATAGAGAGATGAAGCATTGCGTTTACGTGAAATGTCAGATGTCAGCTTGCTCTTTTACGTTTTACGTAAAATAGCGCGAACCTTCCTGCTTTAGCTTGGCGTGACCTCACTTCGTGTTGGATTTGAAGGCGCCCCTGTGTGGCTTGCCAGGAAAAGTTTTGGTTTCCCTTTTCCAGTAATTCTTAGAGAAAATGTAAAGAAAATCCTACGTGCACGGCAAACGCGAAGTAGGTGTATTTTACGTGGAAACGGCAAAGCGCAACCCGGCAAACGTGTAAAAATGGCGGGAAAAACAAGGTCGCTTGGACAGTCTAGGCGTTCACGTCTCACGTAAACGCGTTGTTAAACCTCTCTAATAGGGAGGAATTATTTAAGGTACAAATGTAAAGAACACTTTTGCTGCAAAAATAAATATCGCAATACAGGGCCTAATTTTCTATAAACTGGTAGTATCAATTAAGAGTTGAGCAAAATTTCAGGATATTTTGTTTTTTGAAGCATATAGCAGAGCTAGCGTTTTCGATAGGCCAAAATTACTGAATTGGCCTTTAAACTTCTCGACGTGATTAACATGTAACTAAAATGTAAGTTCTCCCCATAATATTCGTACATTATCTAGCAATCGAGTAACTAGAGTTCCCTAATTTATCAGTTATGGGTTATTATCTTGAACTAACACCAAGTTCTTGTGACTAGTTTACGCTTGAGATAAGATAAAGTACTAGAAAATTACTATGGGTTATATGGAACATGTTAAACTACCTAGATGTCTTAAAAGCAATATATGAATAATGAAAAAAAAAAAATGCTATTTAAACTAGAAGTTAGTTTGTTACGAATGAATATCAATGCAGGCCGGTTTCAATGGAAACACGGTTCGACCATATTCAATTCCAGTATCGTTTCAGATGTTTACCCATTATTTTGGTAACAATCACGCTTTTGTTAGAACGTCTGATATTTAAAATGATCACGTGTTTGTTGTAACTTATGAAGTTAGAAACAGAGTTTTAAAAGTTTTTTTCGCAGTGACCTCAGTTTTAACTCGGAATAAGCCTGTAATGTCAATTTACAATTATTTGCGTCTTTTATGTATTGAAAAAGTCCGAAACTACCTAATATATTGAGTATTTTAAATATTATTAGAATCATAACTTTCGCTTTCGTTTTGTTTATTTTTCTGGAAGGGTATAGAATCCACTATTAAAAAGAACGAAGTTCTTATCAGCTGTAGTTTCCGTTCGTTATGGAACATTAATAAATAATGTTTATGATTTTAATAGAAGTTGTATTTGACTGAAACTTATTTTTTAGAGAAAGTTACATTACATTTAAGATTTGACATGTCTATTAAAGATGTTACTGTATGAGAGCTTGTGTCTTTTTTGAGGAAAGGAAAGATATTCAATGGGAGAGTTTTCGAACCTATCGTTTGTGTGAAAAGTATTCCAAAGTGGGTAAACGTGAAGAGCAGTTCCCGAAAGGTATCGTCGGCCGACAGTTGCCAACAGGATATAAGAAACGTATGATGCACGATCCTCGCAGTTGATAGCGCTATTTAAGCAATAGCGAGAATCAGACCTGAAAAAAAATCAGGCCTATACGGGATTCGAACCACTGACCTCTGCGATACTA